AATCTTGCACAATACCTAAAAGAAACAGCTGTGGGAGAAAGATAATCCTTTTTTTAAAGATTTGCTGTAAGTTCCACCACAATTGTATCCAAAAGGCCTTAATAACCTTACAAGTCCACCACATATGAAAAAAAGTTGCATCTGGGTGTCCACACCTCCAACACTTGGATTCATAATTCACATAAATACGAGACATAGTCATTTAAAGCTTTTTAAGTCTAAAGTTTTTATGATAGTTTTTCAGGTCTTATTTCTTTTTTTAGATAAAAACAAACATCTCCAGTAAGAATAGGAACACTTTTAGTCCCCAAGTTTCAAAAGCATATACATCCAATTAGATTAAAATTGTTCTTATATTTGCTCTGTTTCCCCTGGGTAGTTAGTTGCCGCTTTTCCGGTTTGCCATCGCGGTGCTGCGGATGCTGGAAGACGAGCTCCGTCTTTCGCGTCCTAATTCGTCCTGCTGGGTGACCCTGGAAAGGGTTGAAAGTCTCCTTATAGGGGCGATGAGCAAGGAGGGGACCCCTGCTTGATCACGGGAGGACGGCAGCCCTTCTGTTTGATCCGGGGAAACCCTCCAAACCAGCGGGGGAAAGACTGGCCATAGCAATATGGCTCGTCACTAAGCACCTTTAAAGCAACGCGGATAAAACTGGGTGAGATCTGATCTTCTCTTTAAGACTTTAAGTATTTTTTCCTGCAAAAGCTACCCAAAGTATCTTCCCCCCTGTGAGGAGAGAGGGAAGGGAATTTCAACCCCACCCTCTACTTTTAGCTGATCTTACAGATCAATATAAATAGGTAAATTTTGGCTGCAGCCAAATAACACATTTTAAATAATTGCTGTGAAATAAAAAAAATCTATCAGAGTGTTAATATTTTAAAAAGGTAAGTCCCAAAATCTATAATAATGTACCCAATTAGTCTGTGAAGCATCTTTAGCAAGCTCTATGCTAGGCAGTTTTATCTAAAATTGGTGCACTGCTAGACATAAGGTAACGCCATTGCAAAAGAGCAAACTGGGCTTTCAGAAGACAACTCAACCATCAACCATTGTAAGTTCTCTACTATCTAACAAAAATATATACTTAATGGCAAATTTTATATATTTAGAGGCAAATGTTATGTCATTTTCATTGACTTAAAAGTATGGGTTTGACTCAGTCAATACTCAGAACCAATACTCAGTTTGGTCAAGTGGTTAAGACACTAAGCTAGAAAAGCAGGAAACCATGAGATCACTGTGTGTGTGTTATATACACACACACACATACATACACATATATATATCTACACATACATACATATATATATATGTGTGTGTGTGTGTATGTGTGTATGTATGTATGTATATTCTTGTATTGCTTCCTTACTCATTTTGGCACAAGGATCTACTCTTCCTTCTCCTGCCAATCTACTGTCAACTTAAATAATACTCTGACCTTCAGCAGATAAGTCAACAACAAAACTTCCATAAGCAATGCAAAATTTTGTGCAGTTATTATTGCACTACACTCAAAAATATACAAATACAACAGAGTGTAATTTTCCACACAGCAGAGGAAAGCAGAATCATAACCCATTTTTAAGTATAAAACTAGCTGTACCCGGCCACGCATTGCTGTGGCTCAGTCTGGTTAAATGGAAAAGAAAGAAAAGAAAAAGTGCACGTTTGTAATATGTTTAATTTCACAATGCTAGCGTGTGTTGCTTTTACGTCCAACAGATGGACCTGTTTTTCAAAAACATGTTTTTACCTGTCACAGGTGTGACATCTATATAATAGTAGGTATATAAAAACACACACATATTCGAATGCAACGTTGTGTCAAAATTTCAAAGCAATCGGTGAAGAACTTTCAGAGATTTAAGATTTTGAACAAATGAACATTTACATTTTTATTTATATAGATATTCTTCACTTTGCATGTTGTATACTCTACAGTTTTGATATTGCCTAGGGCACAGAATGTGCTTATGGCTTCTTTGTCATTATTTTATGAAAATGTAAACAGATTCTTGGCTATGAGTGAAAGTGCGAGAATGCAGTATGTATTATCTAATATTTCCTTCTGTGAATATTGTTGTTTTCTGATTTTATAACAGAATGCATGAACAATGGTAGTTCACCTGTGTATTGCATTAGTAATGAAACATTGTCCGTTTATAAATACTTGAGTACACCTTCATTTTCTTCTGGAAAAATAATATTAAATCCATTAAAAGAAAAGGGATATCAATATTCCTACACAGACACATTGGTAAGTATTTTATTTCTTTTATTTCTAATTTGTATTTGCAAGATTAATACTTAAAATTGCATTGCATTTTAGCCAATTATCATTCTTTCTCACAGAGCAGGGATTAACTATTTTTCTTCCAATCTTATATTAACAACACTTGTTTCTTCCCACTAGAGTGGGCTAATTAATTTTGACGCTTTATGTTCTTAGTTTGTCTGGTGCCTTTATGCATGAATATGTTTTCTTTTTTCCATTCAGGAGGGATGCTCTAAACAATCACAAGGAAAGAAAAATAGGTGTGTTTATAGTGTATTGATAGAATGTACAGTTTGGGCTGGAAATAACTTCTATTATATAGACTTCTGGAGTTCAACTATTCTTTTAGCTTAATTTTAAATGGTGTTCATATATACAATACTCAAACTATGAGATTATAAATAAAAACAGGTATGTAATCATTTTAACAGATAATAGTTAACATTGAAAATTTTGTTGATATTAATAGTTGAAAATTAAAATTTTCACATTTAGGAGCATGTAATATAAATTGTAACTTCTGAAAGCTAATATATCTCAGCCCAACTCCTCTCACAGGTTTATTGTAGGAAAAATATTAGGAGGAATGTATGTTGGATATGTTCACCACCTTGAGTTATTTGTAAAAATAATAAAGGCAAATTACAAATAAAAAAATGTTGAGATGTGCAGAGAAAGAGCAACAAAGATGATTAGATGATTGGAGACTAAAACACAAATGGTTGCACTAGTATAGCTAATGAAAAAAGGATTAGAGTGACATGATAGTAGTCTTCCAATATTTAAAGGGCTGTCATAAAAAAGAGGGGTCAGCCTATTCTCCAAAGCACCCAAAAGCAGGACAAAAAACAATGGATGGAAACTAATCAAGGGGAGATCCAACTTAGAACTTAGGAGAAATTTCCTGTCAGAACAATCAGTCAGTGGAATGGCTCGACTTCAGAAGTTGTGGATGCTTCATCACTGGAGGTTTTTAAGAAGAGATTGGACAGCCATTTGTCTGAAATGGTATCGATCTCCTGCTTGAGGATGGGGGTTATAATAATAATAATGATAAAGTTGGAAGGGACCTTGGAGGTCATCGAGTCCAACCCCCTGCTCAGGCAGGAACCCTACACCATTTCAGACAAATGGCTGTTCAGTCTCTTCTTAAAAACTTCCAGTGTTGGAGCATTCACCGCTTCTGGAGGCAGGTTGTTCCATTGGTTAATTGTTCTAACTGTCAGGAAGTTTCTCCTTAGTTCTAAGTTGCTTCTATCCTTGATCAGTTTCCACCCGTTGCTTCTCATCCTGCCTTCAGGCGCCTTGGAGAATAGCTTGACTCCCTCTTCTTTATGGCAGCCCCTGAGGTATTGGAACACTGCTATCATGTCCCGGGAGTAGGAAGAGAAGCAATTTGATCTGTATGGGTTAAGGTCGTTGGCAAGGAATATACAAAATCGGAGGTCAGGGGATTAGTAGAAACAACGAGAAGAGACATGAGAAAGATCTCAGAGTCGTAGAAAAAATGTAGCACCACTGGTTTTGACCTACGAGTATTCCAAGTGTGGCCTTACTAAGGCATTGTAAAGTGGCATTAATACTTCATGTGATCTTGATTCTATCCCTCTGTTAATGCAGCCCAGCACTGTGTTGGCTTTTTTGGCAGCTGCAGCACACTGCTGGCTCATATTTAAGTGATTGTCCACTAGGACTCCGAGATCCCTCTCACAGTTGCTCCCTTCCAACTTTATTCATTCTGTTCTGTTTTATGTAATTTAAGATGGTGGCGCTTTGTTTGGCTGCGGCTGCTTCAGTTCTCAAAAGTGTTGGGGTTATGGAAGGGAATGAACAATCCGAACTGAAGTACTTTTCAAAAATAATGACAAGTAAGCAGAGTTTGATTGCTAAACTGTCATACGAACGTCAGTCCATATTAGAGATGAAGTTATTTAGTGAGAGAGGAACTGTCAAGAAAACTGTTCTGGAGAATCTGCATGGCCTTGGATTACTAAGGGGAAAAAAATCAACAACGGAGGCGCCGGGGGTTGACACGGAGTGTGAGAGATCGGTGCTTTGTGTGGAGGAGTGGGGAGGAAGAAAGGGAATTACTAGAGGTGGAAACAGCGTCATGCTCAGTGTTTTGAGCAGTGAAGGCAGCATTTCAGGCAACGGGCAGAGTGGGGTGGCAGCCATTGCAACTGGGAAGTTTCCCTCTATTGCTGACCATCTTTGGAAGAAAAGGAGAAGGTGTGACCAAAAGAGGAAACGTGGCGGAGGCCTAACATCTAGGCTAAAAGCTAAACCATACAGACTGGCATTTCCATCTATTTTGTTTGCAAATGCTTGCTCCTTAGAGCCAAAAATAGATTACTGTCAGAATCCAATTATATTTCATTTCTAGCTACCTACTCTGATAAAAACCCATTTCTTACTCTCTCTGGATTCTGTCATACTACGAAAGGGGAGGAGGATAAGAAAGGTGGGTTTATGACTTTCACTTCCTTCATTAAACTACAAAGTGACTGGATGTTGATTCTCATCAAGAGGACTGACCATAACAATACGGCCATCGCCTTTCATCTACTCTCTCTGAAGTCTCCCTTTTGCCGGCAGTGAGGGAAAAGGGGGGAACAATGCAACGCCTGGGATCTGGGAAAAGAGAGGATGAGTGATCGTCGCCCGGAAGAACTGTGGGGTGGGGGCTGTTTGGGAACACTTTAAAACATTGAAGGATGAGAGAGAATTCCCCAGATCCTGTCTAGCATGCCTGCAATCATTTTCTCTTAATAAAGATGCCTGTTGGAAGAGACATTCCAAGAGTTCTTCTTAAGATGTAAAGTGAGGTGGGTCCTTACATTAGAAAGGATCTGCAAAATTAGTCCACCTGGAAGGGAGAACCTTGCCGGGGGACTTTGCAAAAAATACCATGTCAGATGACGGAGCAGGGAAGGGAGAAAGCCCCCCCGGAGAGGGAGCCACTGCCCCGACTGAAAACCTGCCAGATATCGGGATCTGAGAGCTCATATTCCTCAGGAGAAGAGGTGGTGAAGACGCGTAACCACAAACCTCGGTGGTCAATGGGCGTTGGAAAGAAAGGCGAGTGGGAAAAGAAATCAAGAAAGGTGACCCTGAGACGGGGAGCCAACCAACCAGAATGGAAGCAGGAGATGGGGAAATCCCTGTACGCAAGCGAAGAGGAAGGAAGCTGGGCACCGCACTGGAGCTGGATCCTAGAGAAAGCTATCGACTTGATGAAGAGAACCCTCAGCTCCCTAGGAGAGGAGAATTCTGAGCCCTACAGCCGCACCAGCTCCTGGAGCCGCAACTGGAGAGACACCGAGAGGGAAGTGGAACCTGCAGTCCCGGGGACATCCGCTGATCCAATAGTCCCCACTCCCTGCCGACCCGCAGATGGCGATCTGGATGGAAGACAATACCACTGACAACGAAGGCACCGATCCATTCAAAGACTCCCGCCGCTGGATGTGAGATTCAAGGGCGAGACGACATGCTTGGGGTTTTTCCTAACCCAAGTCCTCAGCTACATGGAGGAATATGGGCGGCACATCCCCAGCAACAAAGCCCGTATTTGGATCGTGCAATCTGCTCTGGACGGGCCGGCCGCAGATTGGGTGGTAAATTTGCACGACTCCAATGCCCCAGGGCTCAACAACTTCAACCGTTTCATGTCCTCTCTGAGAAGGCGATTTGAGGACCCCCTGGCTGATCGCAAAGCCCGTGAAAGGATAAAAACGATGAGGCAAGGCAAACGCTCGGTAGCCAAATATACGCAAGAATTCCGGGCCATTGCCAGCAAACTGAACTGGCTGGAAGACATCCTCCTTAGCCATTTCAAAGACGGACTAAACTACGACCTATATGATGCTTGCCTGCCCCAAGGGGACCCACACCAACTCAACGAATGGTACGTCCTGGCAGAGGAAGCAGAGATCGACCTAGTGAAGAGGCACCACCAAGGAAAACAATGGAGCCGCTCACCGCCTGAGTCGACACGTGAACCAGTGAAACTATCGGCTATGGCCAAGGAGCAAATGGGGTGTTTCAAGTGCGGGAGAGAGGGGCATCGGGCTGTAGAATGCCGCTCGAAAGCCCCCCAGCATAACCCAGACAGATCACCGGCCAGCAAATCCAGGAAGTCTCCAGCTAAGCCAAAAGAACCTGCCATGAGAGTGATGGGGGCTGTGGAATCCCCTACCTCTGCTCATCGGGGGGAAAGAACTCCAGCCTACACCGCAGGGCCAGTGGATGCCTCAGACAACAGCTCGGAGGGTGAACCCCTGGTAAGTGGACCCATCGCACCCATCCTCAAGACAGTGACTATATTAATTCACTCCATGCCCGAAGCCGTGAAGGTGAAAGCCTTAAGAGACTCTGGCTGCACCCGCTGCCTCATTAGCCCAACGCTAGTGGGAAACCTGGGCATTCCGTCGAAGAGACTGGAACAACCAATCTCATTTGGCCAGTTAGATGAGTCCATAGCAGGGGGGGGTGTGCCAGCTACCCTAGCAACTTTACCAATCCACCTCTCCCTAGGCAAACATGAGGAAGACATAACGTTTGTAGTGACCCCAGGCATGGAATGCCCAATGATCTTAGGGATGGAATGGTTAAAGAAATGGAACCCCTGGGTGAATTGGAGGATGGCAGAAATCAATTTCCCGAAAGGGGATCCTATGGACTTAAAACCCCAAGGGGATCTACCAAAATTAAGAATGGAAAAAGCATCCATGGGAGAGGAAAAGGGGCTACCAGAAATACCAGAGGAATACAGAGATCTTCCTGAAGTTTTCAGCGAGGAAAGGGCAGATGAGCTTCCCCCCCCCCCACCGACCCACGGACTGTGCCATAGAATTCAAGCCCGGAGCAAAACTCCCAAAGCCCAGATTATACTCCATGAGCCCAAAGGAAAGGAGGAAATGGAAAAATTCATAAAGAAAAACCTAGAAAAGGGGTTCATTGAACCTGCCAAGCCTAAAGTG